AGGATTGTAACATAAAACTTGATTTTTTTGTTTATAATTTCGGTTAAATAATATTATTCATATGAATTAACAATATACTTTTTATATGAATTAGTATTTAATAACTATTATAGAATACTCATTAAGCGCGGTCAAATTGTGATACAGGAGACGTTTTAAAATTCTTTTTGAAACATATTTATTGTCTGTGAACTAGAAAATCGTAGATAAAAAAAGAAGGTTTCATTATCAATCAATCTAATATTTCAATTATTCATTGTCTTTATAGGAACTCGAAATGTATAAAGTTTCAAAATAAGCTATCATCTGTTGTCCGTAGCAAATTTTAACCAGTTAATTAACCGGTTAAGATGGTTAACCGGTTATTAGCCGGTACAGTGAGAATTCATACACTTTTTTTAATGGGCGTCCTTAAAATGACCTTATCCTAGACCGCAACTGTACATATCACGTGATAAGTACTTTAAAAAAATTTATATATACATGGGTCTAGGGCAATAACCTAAACCCGGAGTCTAGGATTAATTCATTAATTCGCCCTTTTTAAAACCCAGGACTTTAACAGGAGTCTTTCTTTGCTATCTCGAACAAGATTTGTGGAATTTGTTACAATATTCCAAATGAACAGAATGAGAAAAAATGATTGACGATCTTGCTCAAACTTTGTTATTGATGAGAAAATTAATTACTAGTCATGTCATGAGACAAGTAAATCAAATAAAAATTACCAACCAACGTGATTTATTGACCGGCTTGGCCGAAATTAATCATGTGACAAATAAGGTGACAAATAGTATTTTCACCGGACTTGCAAACGGTCCCCGTTACCTAGTGTTTGTTATAATGACTCTATATAAGTGAAGAACGAACATTTAAAGACCATTCTTATAATACCTTATTTTTTAATTAAGAATTTTATCTTATAAGATGATGTATAATAGCTTTAATTATTTTTAATAAATTCAATATTTATTTATATATTTATTTAAATATGAAAAAAAAAAGAGGAAGGTTAATTGATGACGATGATATTAAAATCATTACAAAAGGAGTTAAGAACGAAGAATAATAAAACATTTTTGTGAATAAGAAACTTTAAGGGAGAACAAAATGTCAAACGAGTATATATAAACACTTTTTAGAGGTGTAATCAGAAAAAAAAAAAACTGAAATTTTGCTTTACAAATAATCATGAATAAAAAAAACGATATTTTTTTTAATTTTCGGTAATATTTATATATTTATATGTAAAAAAAAAAAAAATAGTGGTAGTAAAACGGTATATCAGGATATAAAAAAAAAATGATTGGGGGCGACGAAAAAATAACTCGGAATACGTATAAATTTGGGGAGCAATTATTTATGTTTATTTAGTTGTTCCATCAAGAACATATTTAATAAAGGACGGTCTCTTTCGAATTGGTACCTTCTTCGAAACTCGTCCTTTTCTTTCTTTGACAACGCGTTCCAAGATTTGGCGACTACCTTACTTAGCTTGGACATTTGAATATTCTTAGGCCGAAACTTCATCATTTCTTGTCGATATAAAATGAACATATTCGGCTTTTTTGTTTTTTTTTTGGTTTTGGATCATCATTATATTTATATTCTATAAATTTAACCATAGTGTAAAATTTATTTATTTTTAAAAAAATGAATTGAAATAAATTTATGGGATTTTTTTTTTTAATGATTAAATGATTCAAGTAAAATTTTGGGTTTTTTTTTATTAATTCAAACAAATGAATTATGAGGGAAGCAGACAGACATGTTCTATCTATATACTATTCTACCTTATCAAGAATCTTTTTTTTAAAAAAATGTTTAACATTGGAATACCTGTTTGTTGACGGAGTACGAATCTATACATCGGAAACCTAAATACGGAGACTCATCAGTATAATCGAATGGATAAAAAAATAAATAAAAAAAAATTTTCTATTCGATTCAAATTACATAGCACACAAACTTGAGTTGCATGAGTTTTTTTATTGGGACGGGATTATATTTTGTCCAAGCATGCTTATGCTTTATTGCTTCTCATATATCTAGTGAAAGGCCTAAAATATGATTTTTAGGATTGAAATAACGAAAAATTCATTCATTGTGCACTAAAAAAATATATTGTACTTCAAATATAATGATATTTGAAAGTGTTTACGTCATCTGAAAGTAACAAATCAAAAATTTTCCGTATAATATGATCTAAACATTTTTGCACACACCCGTATAGAGGCGTTGTTCTTTAAATAAAATTTGTTGTGAACCGTAAGACTTGGTTGTAACACATGTTGTATTTGTATATAATGTAATTTTTTTTTTCTTTTCATTTATTCTTTAAAACAAAGATTTATATTGTTTTTGTTTATTTGTTTATATTTTTCATTTATAAAGAAAGATCTTCGCCGGTCCGTAACTCCGATATAATCTATTTACGGAATATCAAATCCGGTGAACAGGTCAGGTAACCGCCCCTAAACTTTCAATATCGATCACGTTTCTGTCGGAAAATTTATGATTTGTTACTAAAAGATGACGTGCTATACTTTAAAGTTCAAAGCCATCTAACAGGAACTGCAGTAAATTACAATGAAAATGAATCATTACAATACATTTACTTTTGTGTATAATGAATCTTTCGTTGATGGCAAATTTTTATTTTAATTTAGCATATTTTGATTTATATCTTATTGATACTATCGAATGAATAAATAAATATATTATAAACATTTTATTTAAAATTCAAAATATGTAGCACAAGTTCCTTTTACTGTGAAACAAAAATTCATCCAAAATCAATTGCTATCAAAGGAAAAGGCTTCTATAAACATATTCTTGTCAGCCATGAACTTAATTGGTTTTGTGAAATTCAATTTTTTCTGTATCACTTATATAAGCGAAAAGGAGGTGGATTTTATTATTCTCAATTTCTTTTGTAACGTTCTGTAAATGAACGAGCCGTATCCGGTTAAATTTAAATATAAAATTTGGATTAATTTATTATGTACATAATATAAAATTAATTAATATAACTGTATTCATTCGAAATTAAACTACGATAATAATCTATTGAATTATTTTTAGGGTGAAATCGTAAGCAACCCTTGTGAAACTGTGAAACAAGGTTATAGGGCAAAAAAAATTCAAAAATTTATTTTACTCTTTAATAAGTTAGTCGGATCCCAAAAACTTTATTCCTAAGTAAATTTTTTTGAAAATCATTTCTTTATTGTATTACATGATTATGTAAGGACTTTAATAAGGTGACAAGGAAAATATTAAGAAATATATGAAAGACGTTCTCGCACTTTTAAAATCGACTTGAAGAAGGATCCTTCTAGCCATAACAAAAAGGTCTACACCTTTCGGAAATTATCGCTAGCTAAATATCACACGGGTGATATTAGCTGGATTATTTGTGTCACTTTCAAAGTTGATTTGATGATTTCTATGGTTACACAAATTTTTATAAATCCACGTCTTGTTATGCCTTGTTGAACAAGCAAAAAAAGGAGTAGGAAAAAAAATTATTATTATAAAATGTTTCTCATTGTAAAATGATGGAAAATGATTGAAGATGAGTCATTTATTTACGAATGGTGTTTTAATATGACACATGAAAACATCGCTTATGTCAAAACATAAAAAAATGAATTTCATGTAAAACTACGTTCAATCGATGAGGCAAAGTTAACTTACTATTTTTCGTTTATTATTGCATTCTTTGTGTCAATATCATTGGCGTTTTTATATTTCCTTCCATTGGGTTCTTTTGAGGAAATTCTTTAAAAAGCGCCTGACAAACGTACGACGTAACGTGCAGGATTTTAATGAGACGTTTCGCAAAGGAAACAGTTCAAAGGGCCATATTGATATTCTAAGGATTGCGGAAGTTTCGATAACATGAAACAGAAAAGCCACTGAAATTTAAACTTAATTTACCCCTAAAAGTTTGAGGCATTCAAAAAAAGAAATTAAGATTAAAAGCAACGTAATAAAAAAAGGTAAAATGGCGATATTAGATTTCTTAAATAATTTCTATAACATGTATATCTTTATAGTATTCGAATTGTCTTTCTCAAGTCATTGTTTTTTTTAGAACGATATACAGTATAGTATTTTCAAAGATTAATAATGGTATAAATAGAGGTATGATCGGCAATAAAAATTTGAAAAATTGTGTACGACTATAAAGGAAATAAATATTTTTTTTTATGCAAGCTAAAAAGATTTTGATTCTTAGAATCAGGGATCAAAAAAATAAACAGTTTTAGAAATTTTAATTAGATTGAAGAAAAAATATTAAATTCCGATTAATTTTGGTAATTCAACTTTTAATGTATAATTTTTTTGATATAAATGAACGACTTCTACCAACATTTTTACAAAAAAAAAAAAAAATTAAACTAAAATCAAAATAAATCCATTTAAGAAACACATTATATATATATTTTTCAATATGTCTATCTTCGATTTAGGAGTATGTTTAACTTATTATAAGAAAAATTAAAGATATATATTATCGTTTATGTATCTCATTTATAGACCGATGATCAAATTAAGGAATTTATGCAAGGTGAAGGAAAAAATATTAGAAAACCGTATGTGGAATTAAGCCGCCGTATTCCAAACTTCTCTTCTATACAATTATGTAATAGGTAAGTTACAACAATTTATAACTAGAAAATTTTTTTCAAGACATCTTATTCATGACTTTCTATGCCTTTCTTTTAATCAAAAATTATAGGTGGAATTATAAACTTAATCCTCGCCGAACGTAAAATTTGTCTTTTTTTTTTAAAAAAAAAAAAACTAAATTATATGTTTACTCCTCTTGAACATGATTTACCTAATGTTTATCATCGTAAACCTGTCAAAAAATTCAACCCACCTTTAAACTTACCTAAAGTCAACCTCTCTACTACAAATACAACAATTGCCTTCTCTAATGTTCCTATTCTTCGACCACGTCCTCGTTTACCAACACTAATTCCTAATTATTTATCAGAAATTAATATTCCGAAAATTAAAATGTTGCCTTTTATTTTAACCCGTCGGGATTTTACTCGGAATTTTTTTTTATTTCCTATAATGTTTGCATTAGATTTATTTTTTTTTAATTTAGGTCTTCTGACGAAATTACAAGTCGTACAAATCAGTCAAAAATTTGATGCACTTAATTTAAACATTTCATACCAACTTTTAAGGTAGTTGCCTGTCATCTTTTTTTAAATGTGAACTTGCTTTCACAATATAATCAATTTCAGATAAAAAATAATTTTATAAATTATTATCCGTAAAATATGAAGTATAATGTGAATTTTTAAGGATCTTTTTAAAATAATTAAGTGATGATAATGATGTCCAGTCGTCTCCCTTTATAGTCACACCCCTCAGGACCAAAAATAAAAGTGTAATTATAATAAAAGTGACTATATAGGGGGATTTTATATAGTATTACTAAGTGTTGGTTCTGAAAGGGTGTGACTATAAAAATACTGTGATTATAAAGGGTTTTTTTTATATAGCATTAATAGATATTGGTTCTTACGAAATGTGTGCTTATAATGAGGGATTTATATGATGTGATTATACAGGGGGTGACTATAGAGGGGAACTACTGTATTTGTAGTAATTCAATATTTTGAATAAAGGTTTTGATTTTTGTGTTAAATTATATATTGTAGTCTACTGAATTTATAATAATTTTAACACGTAAAATCTAATTAAAAGATTGTAAATAGAACTCACTATTAAAGGACTATTAATTTCTCCTTTTTAGAAAAATTGTTTTAGAAATTTATTATAAATTAGAAAGAAAATTTCATGATTTAATGATGCAAGTTAAATGTTATAATTTATTATTTAGTTTAATAAATTTAATATTTTTAAAAAAATATTATAAGATAATAATTTAGAAAAGATCTATTGTGAACTTTTCATTTTTAAAAAAAAGATTTATGATTTTATAATGTTGCAACATATTATGATTCTTTAAATTACAATTATTTAGATAATACATTTATAAATTAAAAATATATATGTTAAATATAATAATAATATTAATAAATATATTTTAAGATTATGTTCAAATGAATAAAACTTTCATTCTATATCAATTTTTAATATATAGTATATATACTCAATGATAGGTAATATTTTGAACTGATTTTTATTTATAAAATAATAACTTATATTATTACACTAGTTATTAATTAAAAGTAATAATAACTTTCTAATAAAAAGCTAAAATTGTTTATCATAATATAGCTTTAATTATTTCATATTAAAACTTATAAAATTCATTTTTTAATATTAGATTAATTATTAAATAGAAATAATTAAAACAAAAACTAAACTTTTATGTTTTTACATATAGCATGAAAAATTCTAATTTAAAATAAAAATTTTAACTTTAATTATTAAATTTGAGATTATATTATTCAGTTATTTAATTTTCAGTTCTTTATTTTATTTAAAATTTATAAAATTCTTATGAAGTTTTATTTTGAAATATACTATAAAAATATTTTGAATTTATTTATCAAATTATCTCTTTTTGCATTCTTTAAATGTGAATTAAATTTATTTATTTAATAATTTTACTAGCATTGTTAAAATTAGTTATATATTAAATCATTAATCATCATGATAGATTATATAATAAAATTTCAGTAAATCATTAATAAATTGTAGAATTTTCTTAACAATATCATAATTATATTGTAGGCGTATATAGAATAATTCTTAGTTATATTATAATAGCATTTATAATAAATATTAATCAGTTATGTTTACATATATAATAAATTGCAATGAAATATTATTCATATAAATTTAGTATTATTAGATATAATAATTTATTATTAAATTAATTAATAATTAATTGCAAATTATAAAATCAATACATTTATAAATAAAATAGAATATATAAAATACATATTTAGACATCTTTAAAAAAGTAAAAATTTCGTATATGCATTTTGTTTTAGAGATTATGACTATTGATGTATTTATTTCCATTATAACAATAAATAAAATGCATAGTACTTGTATAAATTGCACTTATAGAAAAGATATATTACTAGAAAATTAATAAACCGATACATAGTCTAAAGTGAAATTTTTATGTATCATGTATAAAAAAAAAATTAAATAAAATTATAATTAATATTTTTTATAAAATTAAGTAAAATATAAGTAATAATAATTGTATTAATAATTGTTAATTGTAAAGTATAAAAAAATTGAGTACATGCGCATGTAAATAGAACAATATTAACTTGTATCATTTATTAACAGTAAATAAAGGTTTAACTAAATCCATTTTTATACATGAATTATTCACTCACAATTTTATTTTAAATAAAGTAATTCGCCACATTGATCATGCTGTGCGATGTTTGATTAACAAAAGTAAATTACAAGCCACTATAGAATTTCTTTTTAGCATACAAAATGGAAAATAAATTCATTAGTCGAGACACTCTTTGAAAGCGTAAAGCTAGAGAAAATAAAACATCTAGCCAACGTGAAATATGCCTTGCAAAGTAACGTGAATAAGAGCAGAGAAAAAAAATAAGTGAAGATGCTGAAGAACGAGAGGCACGTGTATCATGTAACAAAGAAAGAAAATATGTAAAATTAGAAGTGAAAACGAATGAACAACGTGAAAAATGACTTGATTCCTATCGTGAACGAAGAACTTATCTGAAAAATATTAAAGATATAACAAATCAAGACTTGAATTCACGACTACCACTGCAGCAAAATTCTTAAGATAGTGACGCAAATAGCGCAGAAACACGTGCTTAAGGCCAACGATCATTACTGCAGTAAAATTCTCAAGATAGTGGTAGAGATTTACATGCTGAGTCAAATGCACTTAGTGAATCTGAACGAAAACTTTTAAAGAAATTTAGTGATAAAGTTAATAAATTTAAACATACTTATTGCCTTACGTGTAATGAAAGTTTTCCACCCTTAGTAATTGTGAAGGGGGAATGTTGACATTATTATAACGAGAAAGCCACTACAAAAAGATTCTTGGCAAAGAATAACATGGACCCAGATGAAGTACCCGATGAGCTTCAGGATCTTACAGAGATTGAAAAAATGTTGATTGTACGAGTTTTTCTTGTGATGTTAATATATAGACTTCATAGTGGTCAAAATGGATATTGCAGAAATATAATTAATTTTTCTTAAGATGTTCAGGAATTTGCTACAAATCTTTCTTGACATCCATCATTGTTAGACGTACTTGTCATACATCGTCAATCTGTAAGTAATTTGAAAGCATTTAGGGATTTTAGAGTTCACTGGCTAAAGATTGCTCGTGTATTAATATAGTTAAAAGAAAACAATCATTACTATAGTAACATAACCATTGATCATGAAGCTCTTCGATCCTTACCAATTGATAGTTCAATTAATGACAAGCTTCAAAATATTGCTAAAGAATCTGATTCTGAAAATGAAGATGATATAATAACACGTTCCTTTGTTCCTATTCTTTCTTCATCTAATCGTGAAAATGTTATCATTTAGAATTCTCTCAATCGAATGCAAGAGAATCGTCCTATTATATGGCTATAAATAAATAGCAATCCCATTAATGAGTTCCAGACAGCAGGGTATATTGCATGTATACTTCCGTCTTTATACCCAATTGAAAGCGCTGATCTTAATGCAAAGCGCATTAAAGATGTAAAGCCTGCTGAATATTTCAGGCATCTTCTTCTATATAAAGATGGAAGATTTGTGCAGTACACTCGTTGGAGGTATTTCACATTGAATTCCCAAATGCATTAGCGAGCACTACAAGAAAAGGAGAGTATACGTCAAACAAAATCTTACCAATGCTCAAATTACAGTTACAGATATTCAGGAAAGAATTATCCAAGGCGATACTCATATAGTTGATAGAATTATGCACTTCGGTGAAGGTTTACGTAGATCCTGCTAGTTCTGAAATTCGAAATATTATTAATTGACAGATATGATCAAGCAAATCAGATCACAAGGCTTGATTTTCTTTACATTTAGCGCTGCTGACTTATACTGACCTGAACTTCATAAACTTATGCCACAAAGCAATAATTCTGAAGCTTCAGATAAGACTAAACTTCAAAACATTATTGATAATCCCATATCACGATGTGGTTTTTCAGCAAGCGATTTGAAATATTTTTTAATGAAATCCTTAAAAAACAATAGGATTTGGAGGATTGGTGGTATAGGTTTGAATGGCAACATCACGGCAGAGTTCATGTGCATGGAATCAGAAAAAAAAGAAATGCATTAGTAATAGAATGGGAGTATATAAAGGAAGATGAAAGCATAATGAAAGAAGTCGTACAGTACTTTACAGTTTAGTCACTATAGTAAATCCAGGAGTTGATATGCCTGTTCCTGAACAGCATCTATGTCAAAAGAAAAGTAAAGAATTACGTGATGACTAACAAGACTATATTGATCTAATTAATAAATTACAAAGATATATCCAATGTAGTCTTGCGTATTGTATTCGTATCGATCGAGAAGGCAAACCATTTTACAGGTTTAGATATCCTAAAGAAATTATTGAACAAACATTCATGCGAAAAGATAATTGTGGGTAGCCGAAACTTGTAATAGCAAGAAATGATTGATATGTCAATCCACATAGCTGACTTCAACTGCAAGGATGGTGAGCCAACATAGATTTAAAGCTGATTCTAAGCATATACGTTATGCTGAAATATGTTTCAAAGTATGCAAGCAAATCAGAACCACAATCAGAAGCTTTTTCAGATATATTGAATTGAATTCTTAGTGAAAGTCAGCTGGAAGATTAGTTACTTGCACCAGTTCAAAAGCTGCTACTGAGCAGTATTGCAGAATGGGATATCTCTGCCCAAGAAATCTGCCATATTCTTCTCAGTTTTCCTCTCTATTATTCAAGTCAGCAATTTGTGTTCCTGAATCTTAATAAGAAAGCACCAAGATGGATTTATGGTACTGGAGAAAGTGAAGAATTCTTTGTAATTAATGATTCAGGATGAATAGAAAAATCTCCATTAAAGGTATATTGGGATCGGTCTACTAAACTTGAAAATTTCACACTCTTTTGGCTATATTTAACATATAAATTAATTAAAGGTCAGTGGAGAGAATGTTAGCAGAAAAATATTATACATATATTTCCACACCTATCACCACTGCGTGAAGGTCCTCAATGGGAAGAATTCTGCCGCATAAAGGTTCTTCTTTATGTTCGTCACTGAGATTTTCAACAATTAATAGAAAATAGAACTATCGTATGGTCGACGTTGTATAACCGTCATCTTGAAAAAATTAACACTGACCCGATTGATATACTTAGATCACCTAAAAATGATGTGGAAAGTGAAATAATCGATAAAGAAGAAGAAAACCTAATCGAAGATGAAGAGCTGGAAGAATTCTGACCTGATTGGATATTTCTCGCAGAGATGAGATCAAAAGCAAGTTTTAATTGTTCCTCTGATCTAGGATCTCGAGATGTTGATCAAAATCATGATTGGGTTAATGATCCAAGGCAACGATATTCCAATATGAAGCTTGTAGATATTGATACATTTGTAAGCAGAAATTGTAGGATTAATGCAGATAAAGAAAATATAATAGTAGATTATTAGACGCTAAATGATAATCAAAAAATTATCTTCAAGTGAATAGAATCTTATTACCATAATGTGCTTAAAGAGCATCAAGTTGAACCTTTAAAATAATTGTAATGGAAACTGCAAGAACCGGCAAGACTTACTTAATCAAGGCAATTTAAAGTAGACTTCAAGAAATGGTAGGAACAGGATCAAAGTCACCAATAATTATACTTGTACCAATAGGAGTTGCAGCCTTTAATATTGATGGGTTGACAATACATTCAGAACTATCAATACTAATAATTAATGATAGCAAACGTCTCGACATAAACGGTGAACGGCTGAAGAAACTACAGGATAAATTAAGTGATGTGAGATATGTAATAATTGACAAAAAAAGTATGATTGGTCACCGAATGCTCACCATAATTAATATGCAGTTCTGGCAGACCTTTCCTGAGCATAATAATGAAATATTTAGTGGCAGATCGATTATTTTATTTGGTGAATTTGGATAACTTCCACCTGTTTTTGATCTTCCTATGTATGTAGACAATAAGCGGGATACATTATCTAATAGTAGCCTTGCAGTATACAAGCAATTCAAAGAGGCATATAAGCTTAAAGCCATTCAGCGTCAATCAGGAAATTCTAAAGAGTAATAGGAATTTAGAAGTATTTTCTTAAGAATACATAATGGAGAATCTAGCATAGAGGACTGAATAGTTTTTATCACAAAAATAGAAGATAAGCTCAGTGTGATAGAATGTAATGAATTTTCCAACGCTTTATTTCTTCTAACAAAGTGGTCCGAAGTCAATGCAGTAAATATAAATCGACTTCAATCTTTAAATGTTCCTGTTACTAAAATTCAAGCTATACATACAGGAGGTAATGAAGTAAAAAAAGCTGACTCAGACATGACGCATAGACTCAAAGCATATATATTATTGGCAAGAGGTACACAAATTATATTAATGGCAAACTTACAGACAGATATTGGGCTAGTCAATGGTTTGATGGAAACAGTTTAAGATATAATATTCAATGAAGATCAAGGATCATCTTGTCTTCCTATAGCAGTCCTGATTTCTTTGATAATTATAAAGGACCCACCATTACTAGCTTAAAAGGTGAAAAAGTTGTGCTAATTGCACTAATTCAACATACCTAGACTGGTAATTTCGGAGTTTTCTATTCACGTTTGCAAATTTTTATTCATCTTGCATAGGCAATTATGGTGCATAAAACCAGGGTCTCACGTTACCAAAGACTATAATAGACCTTTGTAAAAAAGAATTCACAGTGGGTCTTTCTTTTGTGGCAGTGTCCTGAGTACGCACTCTTGATGATTTTCTCTTCAAACCATTCAACTTTGAGAGACTTCAGCGCATTAAAGCCTGCAAAAGATTACAAAATAGATTAGACAAAGAAAAACACTTAGTTTCCCTAATACCAGAAAACTGAGACCCTTGACTGATTAACTTGTCTTCTTTACAACAAAGAGTATAGATCTATCTAATAAAAAACTTACACAAAAAAATAATAATATTTTCAGTTTAAAATACTTTATATTATTATGCAATTGCATTCTAAAGTACATATATTTCAGTTCTATACTACATATAATTATTTCATTTTTCATTTCTATAAAATTCAGTGAAGCTTCTCTATAAAAATTTCTGTTCTAAATTTTTTTTTCGTTTTGTATCACAAAAATTTTACGCTTCACAATTTTGTAATACGTAACATTTAACATATAGTTTATTTTTTTTGTTTATTATTATATCATATCAAAATATCAAATGTAGTACAAGATTTAAACGTGACGTGTGCAAACAAATGGATATCACTACATAACCTTAATTAATCATCACTTTGCATAAACATATATAGTCCTTCGCTTCGCTCTAGACTAATTATCTATTTGTAGACTAGAACTTAAATATAGGTATCCTAATACTATTCAATTAGTAATTTTGAATCTAACAACAAAAATGAAAGTGAACTGTTAATTGTCATATTGATAGCTAAAAATTGATCAAATAATTGCAAAATTTTCATCATCATTAGTGACAATGGTGACAATTTCACCAATATGTAAATGATGTAAGATATTATTATCATTTTCTTCTGCCAAAAAATATGCATATTCATAGAAATTATATGAATTCCTAAAAATTACCGAATAATAAACTATATCCTAATATGATATTGTTAGCTCTGTGTGAAAATTAGCATTATTTGACAAATTTTCTTTACCTTTTCTTCTAGATATATACTTCTTCATAGGTTATCTTGAGATACTTTCATATGGTGAATGTACTATTTAAAAATACTCATTAAATTAAAATTTAAAATAAATTTTAAATCAAACCTTCACTTCCATTTTCATTAAAATTTAAAGATTTATCAGCAATAAACTACTATCTATCAGCTATTTTAAATGATGCAAAAGGTTATTTAAGATATTATTTATAGAAGAAAATAATTATTGATACCTCTATTAAATAAATAATACACTGCAAATAATGTTGTATAATGCTTTAGTAAATTTAAGTTCCCATTTTTAAAGTTTGTACATGATATGATATTCTTAAAATTCTATGCATTATCTCTTTTATCTTTATACCAGTATTCAATAAAGTTGCATAGTTTCTAACATATTATATCAAATGTAAATTAATATGTAAATTTGGTAAGTTTTCAAAATTTTAAATGCCTTATTTTATAAAAACAAATAATAATCTCAATTATAATATAAATAATTTATAATAGTAATTATCTTTTATGATAAAAACTTCCATTTATTATCTAAGCATTGTTAACATACAAACTTTTTAGGTTATAACTGTTAGACGCAGTGTTAGAGGGTTGACTCTTTTATAGTTCACGTAATAATTCCAGTCAGTTTATGATAATCTTAGCTAATTTACTACCAGTTTATAGGTTTAAATTAAGTTTATTAGATGTGAGTGGCTTCAATCACGAGTTACAAGTTTTCATAGTAAATTGGAGAAGAGTTTCAGATACAAGATAAGAAATAAGAAATACTTTATTGAAATGAGAAGAAAATAATAAGATAATAATATACGAGAGAAATAAGAAAAGAAATAAAAACAGAGGTACATGAGGTGAAGAGTAGTGTTGCGCTATCTTTTACAAGAAAGAGGTTCTATACAGCCGTCAGTTCTATCTTTCTAATAAACAAAAGAAGTTGTATTTATATCTATTCTATTACATATTTTAACATATCTAATATATTAATTATGTTAACTATATTAATTATATTAACTATATTAATTATATTAACTATGTTAGACATATCTGATACGTTAGACATATTAGCTATATTAAACATGTTAAACATGTTAAATATATTTGACATTATCGACATTTGTATTTCGTCATACAATTGTTGATCTATGATCATCAAGATCGACACCCGGTCATAGCATTTATTTAATTTAGTATATTCTTTTTCAGTAAATGAATACATAAATGTCATTGATATTATTTTTGCCACTAATATCAACATTAAAACTAAAATCTTACAACTAAGTCATTATGAGAAATACCTATTTGACTTTAAAACTTACCAATTTCAGATTATTTAAAATTTTGAAATTTCAAAATCCTATTAAATAAACAATATTATCATAGCTAAATGTAAATTATCAAATATCATAAAACTTTTATATAGGAAATCAGATTTAGTAATTTTTACTAAGATCTAAGATATTTAAATAAGAAGTAGTCAATAGAAAAGGGAAAATCTACAAATTTTAAGTAATTTTAATTATTAAGCTAGTTTTATTTACATGACTATGATCATAGAGTGAACCAATAAAAAAATTTTTGACTAAAAGTGGATTTTCTCCTTTTCTACTGACTGCTCTTTAAATATCTTCTAAACTAAAATAAATGTCAATTTTCTTTCTAGAAAATGCATTAATAATAATTCTGAGAAATCTTAATACTTTTCAGCTATAATATGATAGATATAATATGATGATTGAAAGTATTTTTTTAGAATATCAAGTATTGGTGACTGTATCTACTATTCATATTTTGCAGCAATTTTCTTATATCTTATTATTATTAATGCTGCAGTAATCTCTTTAAATTGATCATCAATGAGATAATAATAATAAAAAATCGATGGCAAATCAATATCAGAAGTTCAGAAATCTTTTATCACATTGTAAATATGATATCCTCTTTTAATATTATGTCATTTTATCCTAACTAAATCATTGCCTTATAGCAAATCAGCTGTTAAATCTTTCAGACTTATAATTACAATACTTCTTGTTTCTTGTATATCTATAATAAAGATGGTCCCCATAATTATTTTCAAATTTCAATTGAGTTGCAACTTAATTGCGCTATAAGGAAATTTAATTGCGCCATAAGTTGCAACTCAATTGCACCATTTTTTTAATTGCGGTGACCATCTTTAATCTATAATTTTGCTATTTTCTAACACTTTTATTTTTGTGACAAATAGAGTAATGAATTCTTTGAAAGAGCTGCTAAATAGAACAAACTTAAGCACAAAGTAATTTTTAAATTATTTTTTTATTAAAAGTTAAGTTTCCAATTTGAATGTAAACTTACCTAATGAATAATAAATATTACAAAAGGTCTTAAAATCATTATAATAAAGATTAATATACAGTTTATATATTAAAAAACTAGTTTTTGACTCTTTTAATTGAATAAATTCAGAAAGATGATAATAGGAATATACAACATTTATTATTTCTAGTGATCTTAAAGTTTATAGAGAATTTTATGAATTACAATTGATGAATAATCATTAATAGTATCTTTAGTATAGAGTATAAAATTTATGATTCGTATAATAATTGATTGCAATTTAACATTAACTAATGTATCTTCTATAGTTTAATTAAATAATCATACTTTATTTACATGTCTTTCTTTGTGAACGTTACTTTGTAAAATTCTTGGTAATTCTATAAATTTTAATATATGTTGAATTATCACTTTAAGATCACCAATTACTTTTACAATCGCTAAAATTTTACTAATTTTATTTGACGATTCTCTATAAACTATAAAATTACTGTAATTATATAATAATATAAATATGAAAACAATTTAAATAATAAAACACATTACTAATTATAGCATTAATCATCAAAATTAACTAATATACCTCTATTAATTTGAATAGATATACATCTAAATCGTAGTGATTCTTTCCAGATATTTTTTTGTCAAGCTTTCAATTTTTTGGCCTAGACTAAAATACATTTGATTAAATAATAAAATTTATTAAGAATTTGTTAAATTATATCAGTTATAGATATATAATATACCTTCTTTGTATTTTTAGATGTAAATAGTATTTTTATTAAAAATATGAATGTATCATAATTTTATAAAAAGCATTTTTATTGATATTTCCTAAAACATTGAATATTTATTATAATATCTTCACTTTTAAATTGAGAATGACGAATTATATCAATTAATTTATCATAGATTTAAGACACTAATAAATATAAAATTAGTATATATGTTATAATAATATTAAACTATTTTACATACATATATTATATTTTTGAATCCAGCAGAATATTAAAGCTTCTGTAATATTACTGAAATATAAGACAAATTCTCTACTAATATGTGACATATATTTATTTTTTAAGAATTCATTAATAATTTTTTACCTATATCAAGTTCTTCATCAGACTCTTTATTAGATTTCTTACTAGAATATTCATCATCAATTACTTCATCAAGTTCTTTATTAGCATTAGATTTTGTGTTATAATATAATCTATTTGACTCTTTATCAGATCTTCATTAGAATCTTTGTCAGAATCTTTATCATATTCTTTATTATGATCTTTGTTAGAATCTTTATCAGAATCTTCATTAGAATCTTCATCAGAATCTTTATCAAGATCTTCATCAGATTTTTTTTTGTTATAATATTTGCTAAATAATTTTTTATTAATAATTTCTTCATTTTTAGTATTCTCATTTCTTTTATTATCGAATTCTATATCAATCATAATGCTATGCTCATATATATATAATTCTTTATTTATTTTAGTAATTTTTTTATTTAATATATAAAGGAATTGTATGTTAAAAGTATTATAGTAATTTCTTATATAATTTTAATAATAGTTAAGAGAAATATAGTGATTTCAAAACATTTTGTAATTTTTGTAATTTTTTAAAAATTGAAAAATTCTAATTTGTGTTTTATTACTTTATTTTTTTGAAAATAATTTGATATGTAAATTATTATATTAGTTAGATATAAGAAATAAATATGTATTTACTAAATAAATGCTTTAGTAAATAAACTTTATAATATTTTTTTAATTTTTGCTTTTATTTATATATTCTTTTAAAAATAGCTTAAATTTAATATACATTTAATTTTTAATATAAAATAATAGCTTAAAATTTAATAAATTTAACCAGTTAAAGTTATTATAGTATAGATTAATATAAAGTAAAGATTTCATTTTTGGTGAAAAGATCTCAGAGCCCCATTTTTCTAACAAACCTTTTATATTGTAACAGGATTGGATTGACAGATGTGGCGCAGAAGGTTGCAGATCTAAATGTCAGATATATCAGACATAATTGATATATTTGATATATTTGATATATTTGATAT